CACACACACACACACATACACACACACATACATATATATGAAAATGTTCATTTTAGAGACAAGGTCTTGCTGTATAGAACAGATTGATATCCAACTCCTGATCCTTCTGGCTCCCACTATCAAGTATAAACATGTGCATTCATGCATAGCTTAAGGAAGGAATTCAGAAAAGACTCAAACAAGGGTTTTAATTTTAATTTTTTTAAATTTAATTAATTACTTTATACATCATTCTGCCTACATGTTCGCCTGCACACCAGAAGAGGGCACCAGATCTCATTATAGATAGATGGCTTGTGAGCTACCATTTTTGGTTGCTGGGAATTGAACTCAGGACTTCTGGAAGAGCAGACAGTGCTCTTAACCACTGAGCCGTCTTTCCAGCCCAGGGGTTTTTAAATTAGTAGATATGCTGGCCATACCTTGCCTTGACCCAGGAGGATGTTTGATTGCTCATTTCCAGTCTTTGTCAGCCCATCGCCTTTTTATAGTCCACACTTGTAGTATGACTAGTTTAAACTATCATTTTCTCTTTTTCTGCATCCTCTAGAGCATAGTTCTCAACCTGTGGGTTGCATCCCCTTTGGGGGGAGGCGTCTAATGACCCTTTCACACAGGTCATCTAAGATCACCAAAATATTTATATTATGATTTATAACATTGGCAAATTATAGTTATGAAGTAGCAAAGAAAATATGGTAGGGGTCGCCATAACATAAGGAACTGAATTAAAGGGTCACAGCATTAGAAAAGTAGAAAACCACTGATCTAGAGACTCCTTATATCAATCAGTGTGACTAGGTATGTTGTGCAGACTCTACACCTGGATGTGGGTTCTGTGCTGGCAGCACCAGGCTCACATGAAAGCTAGTCAGCAATGCAAGTCTCAGGACCCCATCAGACCTGCTGCAAAAAGCGCTAAGCAAGGTTCAGTAACTTGGGGTTTAACAGGGAGAGCAAAGTTTGAGACTCACTGACCCTGCCTTGTATGTCTTAGTAGTGACTGAGACTTGAGCTTACCCTATGCACATAAACAAAAATGGTCACTTTATTTTCACTTTTCTAACCACCCCCTTTTCTTTTACAAGGAAAGGATCTTCCTTCCTCCCTCCCTCCCTCTCTCCCTCCCTCTCCTCCTCCCCCTCCCTCTCCCCTCCCCTCCCCTTCTCCCTCCTTCCCTCTCTCTCTTTCCTTTTTCAAGGCAGGGTTTCTCTGTGTGACAGTCCTGGCTGTTATACAAAGAACTGTCTGGAATTCACTTTGTAGACAAGCCTGGCCTTTAACTCACAAAGACCCGCCTGCTGCTGTCTCTTGAGTGCTGGGGTTAAAGGCATGCTCCATCATTACCAGGCTTGTGGAAGGGTTTCTGAAAAACAGAATATTCCCAGACATCCTAAGTGGTTAGTCTGTTTTCTCTTAGCACATGGTACATAATGTGATGATCCCATTGCATTGTTGCTATCTTGTTAAGTATCTAGTTTTTGTTAGAACTGCCCCCATTATCTTTTCATTACTTTTACTATATTTATTTGCTTACCTTTACTATTTGTTGAGGTTGGGTCTATTTTATATCCTAGGCTGACCTCAAGTCCAAGATCCTTCTGCCTCAGTCTCCTGTGTCCTGGGCTTATAGGCATATATGTTGCTATGGTCAATTTTTGAGATGAGGTCTGTCTCATTGTGTAGCTCAGGCTCCTCTTAAACTTGAATCCTCCTGGCACTATCTCCTGATTGCTGGGATTGCAGCTGTGTGGTATCACACCTGTCCCTTTCACCACTGTTTGAAAACTTGAAAATTAGTATTGCTCTTGTTCATTTGTATTGTAGTAGTGGATAATCAAACTTAGAGTCTCACATATGCTAGATAAATATTGTACCACTGAGCTACATTCTTAATCCATATCGTTTGAATAAAAATTCAAACAACCCTGAAATCTATAAAGTAAAAGAGGCTAATTTTTTTTTATTATTTTTCTGTGGTGTTGGAGATTGAATCCAGGGTCTCCTGCATGCTGAACACATGTTCTACCACTGAATTATAACTTCATCCTCCAAAGGCTAACTTTTTAATTCCTCTTTTCTAGAAGCAATAACTACTACTTCCTAACTTTTTCCAGAAAATTCCCCAATGCACACTTTTTGTCTTACAGAAGTATAAAGTGTAACACAAATATCCCCCTAAATGATGCTTTTTCTATCATGTGGGCATGCTGCACAACTTTCTCATTTTATGCAAATGGTGGGTTTTTCAGTATGCTCAGGTCTCATGAGAATTAGAGATCTAACTCAATTCCAATTGTACAGCAGATGCCAGACATAGATAGCTGTCTCTTCTGGAGGAGCCCCAGCCAGTAGGTGACACTCCCAAGAAGGTCACTTCCCTGTACTTGACAGCACACAAGTCCTCTGTTTGATGAGTCCCTAGGAAATCACCTCAGAGAGCAGTCTCTTATTGAAATTCTTAGTTTGTCCACTGAAGTAAATTCAGTCTCAGAACACGTTAATTTTGAATAGCAAGTGGTTTGTTGAAGCAGATGGTTTTGATGCCAGTAATATGTTCTCTTGAACAGGAGAGACTAATGAAGCTCAAAGAATAGATAACTTGCTGGCTGTTAGAGAAGTCATGTAGAACAGGAAATCTTTCAAACTTAAGAGGTTTATACTCCTACTGGTTTATTGTGGTCAGAATCACACAACCTGCCCTGTAGAATTAGTTTAATCACATGGTAATCAAACATTACCTGTTGGCACATAATTACAGCCTTTTTTGTTTGGTTTGTTTGTTTGTTTGTTTTGAGACAGGGTTTCTCTGTGTTGCTTTGAAGCCTGTCCTGGAACTCGCTCTGTAGACCAGGCTGGCCGGGAACTCAGAGAGATCTGCCTGCCTCAGAGAGATCTGCCTGCCTCTGCCTCCTGAGTACTGGAACTAAAGGCGTGCACCACCAGTGCCCAGATATGATTGTGGCTTTTAAGGATAGGGCTGGGCGTGTAGATTGACTGCTTTGTGCTTGCCTAGTGTGTGTAAGGCTGTGGTCCACAACGCTTGAGTAGCAGAAAGTGGTAGACTGGTGGTGATGATGTGTCTAACCCAATCATTTCTTTGTAAATATTTGTTTTTCATTCCCTTGGAGACACTTCTTTTCTAAAGTGGCATAGATAAAAAACAAAACAAAACAAAACAAAAACATAAACAAACCATACACATGAAAACCAAGGCTGGAGGGATGCCTTAGAGGTTAAAAGAGCAGTTAGCTGCTTTTCCAGAGGACCAGGGTTCAATTCCTAGCAACCACATGGCAGCTCACAACTGTCTGCAACTTCAGTTTTAGGGGTTTGATACACTCATAGAGACATATATGCAGACAAAACACCAATGTGCATAAAAATAAAAAAATATTTAAAAAGGTCTGGAAAATTTTGAGACTATATACAGAAACACTTCTAAAGGAAGCCCTTAAATTTTTTTTTACATGATTATTTTATTTATATGCATTTACTTTCAGATTGAGTATTGTGGGCTGGAACCCAAGGAAACCTGTTCTGTCTTGAATAACTTTATTTCCATAAGCCTTGTCTGTTTCCTGTTTCCCAGGAAATAGACTGTACCTGACATTCAATAAACTCTGTTAAAGTGTGTTTGCAAAGCAGCCTATGGCCTGGGAAGGAGGGAGCCACATGCTGTGATATTTCTTCTGCACTCTTGAGATTACTTAGGCTTACTCTATCATTTCAATGACTGGTAATAATTGACTTTTGCCGGAGTTTTTCTATGTAAAAAGAAAATAAAAACTACTCATGTATGTATGTACATCATTGTGCCCTTTGAGAGAGACGGACCCAGAAATTGAAATTCTGGGAAAAGAGAATGTAAATTAAATGTGTACCTCTCCATTTGTAGGCACTAAATTGTTCTCCTAAAAGATTGTGCATTCTGTCCTCTTGCCTGCTTTTCAGAGACATCTGGGCTCAGGTTCTTATGTTCTCTAATGAACTGGTACATGTCAAGTTGATATTCACTATTCCAATGGCATCTTACAGTTTTGAGCTTGCATTCTTGGCTTTATCAATATTGATTAAGGGCCTTCAGACTGTTTTGGAGCTCTGTGCTCATCTAGAAAAGGTTGGTGTCATCCTGGCTGTCCTGTTCTCACAGCTGCCTGTTCTGTCACTGTGAGGGTTGTGTAGTTGTGGTACTGAGTACATGAGCGTTTCTGAGATGCTCTGTTCACAGGTCTTTGGGGAATTTTCACACTGGGGAGCGACACTTGTGTAGACTGCTGATGACAGCCTTATTGGTTTTGCTGTTGACACATCATCTCTTGTAGCCTAATCTGGTCTTAAAGTCCCTTTCCTTCTTCCAAGTGTTGGGATTAGTTATATACCACTTGTAATCTGTTTTATATGGTGCTGAACCATAACCCTACCCTCAGCCCGATTCCCCAACACACTGTTTTTGGAATTCATCCTTATTGTATGTGTCAGCAACTTTTTTCCCTGAATGTTATATTTATGTAACATTTGTTTATCCACTTGTCTATGATTTGGGCATCTTGGTATTCCTAGTTGGCTAGTTGGTACCTTTTACAAATCATATATACTTTCACATACAATACAGGTTATATTTTCATTTCTCTTGGGTAAATGTTCATGAGCAGAAGGGGGTGGATTATATAATTAGTGCATTTCTAACTTTATAAGAAATACTTATGATTTCAACTATAAAAATTTAATAAAAGTAAACTACAATTTTCCAAAGTGATGTGGCATTTTACTTCCCTACTAACAGTGTGTGATAGTTCTAGCTGCTTTGCAGCCTTGCCAACACTTACTCTGATCTCTTTAAATTTTATCCATCTGAGTGGACATGCATTGATGTCTTTATGTGGTTTTAATTTGAATTTCATTAAGTACAGTCTTAAAGAGCGTTCTTGAGGTTTGCTTTAGTTTCCTCTGTAGGAGTACAGACAAACTTCTATAGTTAAAGTTATTTTTTTTCTTTTAGGCTTTTGAAAGTGTTTGAGAAGGATAATTCAAAATGCCTGAAAATCCTGCTACAGGTATAGAACCTATATATTTTTATTGTTAAATTACTTGATTCAAAAATGGGTTGTGAGACAGTGTCTAACTTGAGCTCTGATCACTTTTCTCCAATCAAGAGAAAATGCAGGTCCTGCAGGTCCTCGACCGCCTGAGAATAAAGTTGCAGGAGAAGGGCGACACGACGCAGAATGAAAAGCTATCTGCATTTTATGAGACACTGAAGAGCCCTCTCTTCAACCAGATCCTTACTCTCCAGCAGTCCATCAAGCAGCTAAAGGGACAAGTAAGTATTCCTTGGGCCTCACCTTGATGGCTTCAGATCTGCAGAGGAGTACAGGAGGATTGTAACTCTTAGTTTAGCAAAGGCACATGGGGTCTGCAAGCTGTGGGCAGCATCGGTGGGTGCTGTAAATGCTGATGAAGTTTATGTTGGGCTTTGGAGAGTGAAAAATAAGTAAAGATCAAGTGCTTCAGGATCTCAATATACATTTTTTTTTTTTTTTTTTTTTTTTTTTTTTTTTGCTATATGGTGTTAAGATTGAGCTCAGGGCCTTGTATATGCTGGAACTCTACCACTGCATTCCATTCTCAGCTCTTGTATTGTCTACTTCTTTACATTTTTCATTATGTTTTATTATGTGTGAGTGTGTGTATGTATGTATATAGTATGTATATGGGCATGTGTGGCAGTCAGAGGACCAGCTTATGTGAAGTCAGTTCCTTCCTTATGCAGTGAGGGTCCCAGAGGTCCGACTCAGGTCATCATCAGGCCTGTATCTTCTGAGCCCTCTTGCCTACTCTGTCTCTCTAATGAACACATGTATTGATTGGTTGATTTTCTTGTGTACATGATGTATGCACATGTTTGTGTGGGAGGGTACATTTAAAGGCCTGAGGACATTGTGAGGCAATGTTGCTGACCTTGCACTTATACATGGTATTCAGGAGTCTGAACTCAGGCCATCAGGATTGCATAGCTAGCACTTTTACTCAAGAGTCCTCTCCTGGTGCTTGCCATTTATTTAATAATAAATTGTCTTTTATTAATTCATTGACAATTTCATGCAAGTACACAGTAAATCTTGAACTCATTTCCCCCAGCTTCTGTTCCTTTTCCCAGGTACCTCCAATATGCCCTTTTTTATCCACCTCTTTTTAAAAACTCACTGAGTCCAATTAATGCTTGCCGTTACAATGTTGACTGGTCTTCTTAGCATAATCTTGTTTCTGTTTGACATTTATTCTTCTTTAAAACATTCATTTTTTAATTAACTATTTATTTTTTTGACACAGTGTCTTACTATGCCTGGAACTCAGAAATCCACTTGCCCATACCTGCAAAGTGCTGGGATTAAAAGACTTGTGCCACTGTGCCAGGCTCTTATAATTCTTTTAGGGTTTCTTGTATAAGTACTCAATTTATAACATTTCTACCTTATACTTTCACACTTCCAACCTCCCCTGTGTCCCCCCTCCTACTCCCACTAAACTTCATGACCTCTTTTCCTTTAATTATTATTTACCTTTAATTATTCACACACACACACACACACACACACATACACGAATATTCATCGAATATTCATATGTATATGTGTTGAGGGATGACCATTTGGGGTTTTTAATATATCAGGGCATTGTCCCTGAAAAAGAGTGGCTCTCTCTCTCTCTCTCTTAGCAACCATTAATTGGCTCTAATTCATCTAGGGTGGGGCCTTCTGAGATTCCCCCTATCCATGTTTGGATGTCAGCTGATATTGTCATTATGTATGTCTTGTTTAGGTGACTATTTTATAAGGATTCCATGGGTGCAGCATGTTGTCACACATAAGATACTATCTTTACATTTATTATTATTTTTTAATGTGTATGGATTTACTTATATACTATAGATCTATGCATGTTATGTGTGCCTGGTACCTGCAGAGGCTTGAAGAGGGTGTTGGATCCCCTAGATTAGAGTTAGAGATGGTTGTGAGCTACCATGTGTGTGCTGGGAATTGAACCAAGATCTTTTGGAAGAGCAGCAAGTGCTCTTAACCACTGAGCCACCTCTCCACCTCCCTTTAGCATTTGTTATTAATGTTGTTTTTATTCTACTGTGTGGGTACTTGTATCATCAGGTACTTAACAAAAACTGCTTCTTGTAATGCTAGAAAGTTCTTTAAAATGTTTAAGTGGCCTTGTGATTTACTTGCCATTAATATTACACAAGGATTCTGAGTGCCTGAATTTTCATATTCACCAACTGGGATAATGAATGACATCAAATGGGTTATCACAAAAGATTCAATGAGATAATAACCATGCAGGAATGCTGGTCTAGTACCTGACTCTTAGAAACATTGATTAAACACTATTGCTGTGAGTACCGTTTTTTGCCTACTGTGGATCTCTTGTGGCTCCTCCATGGAGATATGTGGATGAATGCAAAAAGGCCCAGTATCGTACATACTTAGATGCATCAAGAGGAAATTTTAAAAATAAAACATCTATGTAATATTAAAGACTCTAGCCTTAAGAACATAGTGATTTGTTGATAGGCACTTTGTTTTCTTCCTTTAAAAATTTATTTTATTTTGCCAAGTTGTGGTGGCATATACTTTTAATCCTGGTACTTGGGAGACAGAGGGACAGAGGCAGGTGGGTCTCTGTGAGTTTGAGGCTAGCCTGGTCTACAGAGCTAGATCTAGGACAGCCAAGGTTACACAAAGAAACCCTGAGTCAAAAACAAAACAAAAGAAAACAAGACAGGAAAGCATTGTTTTATTTTAATTATGTGCATGTGAGTGTTTGGGGTGGGCAGAAGAGTCAGATTCGCTGGAGCTGGAGTTATGGGTGGTTCTGGACTGCCTGACATGGGTGCTACTGTATTTGAAAGAGCAGTGTAACTGCTGAGCCATCTCTCTCTCTCTCCATATTCCTCCACACACACCTTACCTCTCATTTCTTTTTTCTCCCTGCCTGCCCTCTCTCTCTCTTAATATATACCTATGAGCGTGTGCGCGTACGCACACACATACACACAACCCTACACATATACCTCTCACTTTTTCTTTCTCCTCTCTCCCTGCCTGCCTTCCTTCTTAAGACAGAGTTACATTCTGTAGCCCTGGTTGGCCTGTAACTTGCTAAATATAGAGCAGGTTGACCTTGTACTCACATAGGTTCTCCTGCCTCTACATCCGAATACTGGTCTTAAGGTCATGTGCCACCATGCTGGCCCTTTAGTTCTTTAATATGTATATAAATTATACATATAATCAATAGATAGTGACTGTTCTTTTCTCTAGATTTCTGTTGATGGTTTTCATCTTTCTCTCCAACAGCTTAGCCATATCCCCTCAGATTGTTCAGCCAACTTTGAATTCTCTCGGAAGGGTTTGCTAGTGTTCACTGATGGTTCCATTACAAATGGGAATGCCCACAGACCTTGTAGTAATTTAACTGCATCTGGATTATTGCCTTGGACTCCAACATCAGGAAGTGAAGACTTTAACTCAGTCATTCAGCAGATGGCTCAGGTAAGGTCATGTCATGTCACTGAATATTTAGCTTTGTTAGTTTTTCTTCTGTTTCACTTTAAAAGTGAGTATTATACTTATTCTTTTTGTCTCAAAATGTGTTACTATGCATTTTGTTTGTTTATATTTTTATATTGGAAGGAGGAATTAACCCTATTCCTAACCTATATGGTAACACTTTTCATTAAATTACAGGAGAGTAGGGTATGCTGGCAAATCATATAGCCCATCATTCTGCAGGCTGAGGCAGGGGAGCTACAATTTGAGGCCAGTTTGAGCTGCATAGTGATGCCCTATCTGAAAAGAAAAGAAAAGAAAAGACAAAACAAAAAACAAAAAAACAAACAAACAAAAAAAAAACAAAACAAAACAAAAAAAAAAACAAAAAAGAAAGAAAGAAAGAAAGGAAAGGAAAGAGAAAATACAGAATATCATAATTTTATGTCAAAACAGAATTTGTGAATTGCATTTGATATAATTTGGAAAATCTGGGTAAACATTACAATGGATAATTTAACTGTAGCCCCTAATACCTACCAAGAAGTAAATGATAGAGAACTAAAGTTTTTAGATTTTTTTTAAAGAGAATTTCTTGTTGAGAACTTGAGTTTGATTCCTAGCACTCACAAATGCTGTAACTCCAGCTCCAAGGATCTAAGCCCTTTTCTGGCCTCAGTAGGCAGTTCATGTGCACATACCCATACCATACACATAGTTCAAAATAAAGTCTATCTTAAAAATAAGAAACTGTGTTTGGAGCTGCATACCCTTTAATTCCAGCACTAGAAGGCAGAGGCAGGAAGATCTCTGTGAGTTCGAGGCCAGCATGGTCTACAGAGTTTGTAGACTCTATAGAGAACTCTGTTTCCAAAAAACAAAAGAGAGGAAAATAAGTCCATCAGTCATTTAGTAAGCAAACAAATAAATAAATGAATAAATTTGGGATTGAGAATGAAAATGAATTTAAATATACTACTCTTGGGACAATAGTAGCCTTTTGAAATGATCAAGTGAATGGTATATTAACTCATTGCTATAGATTTAAAACAATTACTGGTTGACTGGGCTGAATATAAGCATGCTCCTGGCATAACTGATTTACTTTTCCTTTTAAAAATATGTTTTACAGCAAGAGAATTTAAAGAATTTATGTACAAAGTAATTGAAAGTGTATTGCTGGAAAGGATGTTTGTTTTCAGTTTTTGTCCAGCCCAGAATCTATGTCATAATGTGGATGAATTATCAAATGCTTCTCAATGCTGGACTCTGTAAAGAATTTCCAGAACCATCATATTACCAGAACACTGAGCATGTTTAGACTGATAGCGATAACCTAGGAGAGGCTGTTGTGTGCTGAACAGGTTCGGTTCTGTGGAAAGGTGATATTTAAATGCACATCCTGTTTCTTTTCCTTTCTGACTTCCTTCATTAGGGCCGGCATGTTGAATATATAGATATAGAACGTCCTTCAACTGGAGGCCTTGGGTTCAGTGTGGTGGCCCTGAGAAGTCAAAACTTGGGATTAATTGACATTTTTGTAAAGGAAATCCATCCAGGGAGTGTAGCAGACAGGTAAGGAAGTTCATTTTGTATTTGGTTCCTGTTTTTCTTTCAGCTCTGAAAATGTTGTCATAAAGAGAATAAGAAACTAGCAATTAAAAACAGTAGCACTAGGACCTAGTGCTGGTCAGTTTTTTAGAGGTTCCTTAACCCCGCCATCTCCACATGTACCTGCTGTGTTTGGAGGGTTCTGCACAAAGTCTTTTTCTCATTGATTTCTAGTCTTTGGTATATGACTCATTTCCTAAGTTCTCTATTCAGATGTAGAATAATAGCAGTAGTGGCAGGATGTGATTACAAAATTCTGTCAATAATTTTTTTCATATTTATTTTCTCTGTTTATAGATGATTACTTCTAGTCTCCTTAACTCAGTTTAAAGTAATATATCTACTGGGTTTTAATATAGATAGTATAATTTTACCATTTTGAAGCACACCATGTTTTGCAATCATTTCCATTATTCTAGAAATAGTAAAAATTCTAGAAACTTCATCAATTAGAAAGGAGCCCCCACCCTATTGTATATGTTGTCAGTCACTCCCAACTTCTTCTTCCTTCCATCTTCTAGCGGCAACTTGGCCTTTTTAAAACAGCATCTACCCACAAAGTCCTGGAACATTGTGGGAAGTGCTGCTATAATATATTGGTTATTCTTTCCGACTGTTTATTTGATGGTGTGGTGCATGATGCTCTTGTCTGTCATTGCAGCCTGACCTTCTGCTGTGTTGTCAGTGAGCCTCCATCAGTGCACAAATGTGTCCCTAAATTCAGCATTTACTTCTCAGTTCCTTTAAAAGATGATTGTAAGGCTCAATCTTAGTTCATTTTGGTATAACAGAATGCCTGAGGTTTTAGAACTTGTGTTGAACAGAGATTTACTGTCTTACTGCTCTGGAGCTGAGAAGTCCATGTCAAGGTGTTTACAACTGGCTTGGGCTTCTTGCTGTTTCATTGAGTGGTGGAAAGCAGGATGAAGTGGAGCAATGAGGAACTAAACTTAGCTTTTGTGAAGATGCCAGTCTTATCCATTGTTATGGGATGTCCTGCCTGGTTCTGCAACTACCTTGCCCCAAATGAACACACAAAGACTTTCATTAATTATGAAACTGTTGGTCAGTGGCTTGGGCTTCTTATTGTCTAGCTTTGTCTTAATTATTAACCCATAACTATTAATCTATGTATTTCTATGTGGTCTTGTCTTACAGGAGAATGCCCGACTCATGTCCTCTTTTCTTGGGCTCACATGTAGACTCCTTTCTGTATACAACTTTCCAGAATTCTCATCTCCTAGTCCCACCTGTCTTCCTTCCTGATCAATCAGTGTTTTATTCATCAACAAATAAGAGAAACATATACAGAATAACATCTCCCATTGGTCCATGATTAGATAGTACCATGATTGGTCAAACCTTAGAAGTTTCACATCTAGATACTTTATAATAGAAATCAAAATTTCCACAGGAGCTCAGAGGCACATACACTGGAACCATAGCAGAAAACTTTCTAAATACCCTGTTGACATCATGTCATCCAAAATGTTTCCTCATGTGAAACTGAAATTGAATGCATACAGCAAAAGTAATACCAGTCCTTCTGAGACAAATTACTTGGGGCAGGGTTTATTTTTACAGGAACATTAGTCAAGGAAGTATTGTAGTTTGAGGCCGGCCGGATGTTGCTGTTTCTCTCCATCTGTGTAGTCTTGCTCAAGTGATGTAATTTTTAGGTTTCAGTGTTGTGTAAATGGGCAGTGTTAACATGAGATAGGATGGTGTAAGAGAAGCACATGCTAGTAGAATTCCTGATTTGTAGAAGAATGCCAGAGCCAGTTCCATGTGCACATTCAGGGTATCAGTACCTAAAACACATTCTTCTTTTGTGGTATGACCAGGGATCAAAGACTGAAGGAAAATGACCAGATTTTGGCCATTAATGACACCCCATTGGATCAGAATATTTCCCATCAGCAGGCGATTGCATTACTACAACAAGCCACTGGGTCTCTTCGCCTGGTTGTGGCCAGGGAAGTGGGCCCCACACAGAGCCGTACTTCCACCAGCTCAGCTGATACATCTCTGCCTGAAACGGTGGGTCATAAGCTTGGGAACATAATCATTCTAAATTATGTTATTCACTGTAAGAATAGTTGGGCCGGGCAATGGTGGCACACACCTTTAATCCCAATACTTTGGAGGCAGAGAGAGGTGAATCTCTGTGAGTTCAAGGCCAGCCTGGTCAACAGACTGAGTTCCAGGATAGCCAGGACTGTTACACAGAGAAACTCTGTCTACAAACAAACAAAAACAAACCCCAAAAAGAATAGTTGGTAGTCATTGGAAGTCCTTTCCATTATTCAAGGTCGAGAAAGGTGATCATATTTTCATATGGCAACATTACAAGATGTTTATTGGATGGTTTTTCAAGACAGGGTTTATCTGCTTAACAGCTCTGGCTGTCTTGGAATTAGCTCTGTAGATCAGGCTGGCTTAAACCATAAATCTGCCTGCTTCTGCTTCCAAGTGCTGGGATTTAAGGTGTTCCCCACAGCTGCCTGGCAGAGGAATTTGATTTATTTTTGTCTTTCTAGTGTCTGGTTGGTTACCTTACTAAGATTATTATTTAACATAAAGGCCAAATTAAATATTATATTTAACTTATTTGGTGATAAGATGTCTTGTGTTCTTTGATGACATAGTGAGTTAATGTGTATGTATCGGGAGGAGGGAAACCTGCTGTGTAGCCCAGGCTGGCCTTGAATTTACAATTCCTTTGGATCATCCTTCAACCTCCTGAGTGCTAGTAGTATGGCTGTGTGCCACTATACACATGAGTCTCAGAGGTTTTATTAGAAGTTTACTTTTGACTGTCTTAATGAAGATGTGGTCATTTATTTTAAAAATCTCATATTTACAAATTATTGTGGGAGTTTATGACTAGATTATTGATTATAAAATCATTGCAGTCACTTTTTTCAAATAAGTTTAAAAAGAAAGATTTAATTTAAAAAAATTCATGATTCTTCTTTGGTATTTACTTTTTATGAACCCTCCTTTCCCCTAGTTCCCTGAAATCTTTGTAACATTGTGCTAGTCTTTCAGCAAATGTATATTCATTGGTTTCCTACTTATCCTGTGCTTGGTTGTAGGCACAGATTGGGAAACTTTTTTTGTCCTTTTTGAGTTGTACTGTTATATGATCTGTGTATTTCAGTTATTTGTGCTTATTTTCTCTGTTGAATTATAATATCTTTATTGGTGGGGCTCTCTCCCTTGCTCTAACAATCTACTCATCCACCCACCCATCCGTCCGTCCGTCCGTCCATCCATCCATCCATCCATCCATCCATCTATCTATCCTCTATCTACTTACTTATATATGGATATCTCTGTCTCTACATAGTTGTCTCCATTAATTGTGTGAATTTTCAGTTTCTTTTATTACCATATAGGAAATCTAAGAATCTGTGGTTTACCAACACTGGCTCTAACTTGCCATTCATTTGTAGGTGTGTTGGGGCCACACTGAAGATGTTGAGCTCATTAATGATGGCTCTGGATTAGGTTTTGGGATAGTTGGAGGAAAATCAAGTGGCGTGGTCGTGAGGACTATTGTTCCTGGAGGACTGGCAGACCGAGTGAGTTAACTTTTTTTTTTATTCTAATCATTTTGCTTTTATAAAATTTGAATTTTCTGATTTGAAATCAATTTTATAGCATGAGTTGCTAGGATATGTGACTCAATGAGAGTTTAAATGTTACTTATAACACTTTATATCATCAATTTGCTTTATTTAAACAATTTCTAATTCAATTTTTCTGACCTATAGTTAACAGGGTTTTGGTTACGTATGAAAAGATATTTTTATTTTTTGAATAAAAATTGTCAATGAATTAACAATTATTAATAATAAAAATTGTTAATGAATTGTTGATGAATATTTGCATTTTGACCATGTGTTACTCTTCAGTTTATCTTTCAAGGGCTCAGTGTTAGAATCAGAAGATTCAGTGAGCATATGCATTTGTCCTGGGGTAGGTGATAAGGCTCAGCTGATAAAGGTGCCCCAAAGCTTGGCAGCCTGAGCTTGATTCTGGTTCCAGTGTACGGATAGACTCCACAGCCTCGTCTTCTGACTCCACACACACACTGTGACACACTCTCCTCTATTAACAATAACGGAAACAAAAGTCCATTTGTTCCACTGTCACACATGTGAAATTTTACTTGGTTATTACATGGTTTTATATATAAGTCAAGTGTGCACCTTTGTTGCTTAGCAATGTTTTAAGTAGGCCCTATAAAGAGCTTGACAACTTTCTTTTCTGCTTAATTTTACATGGAAGAAAATGTTAAATACTGTATTTGTTTTTATTTGTTTACTTATTTATCAATATTTGTGTGTCTCTGTGTATGTCATATGTGTATGGTTACCCATGAAAGTCAGAAGAGAGTGTGTGATATCCTGGATAGGAGTTACAAGCATTTGTAAGCCTTCTATGTAGGTGCTGGGAACCAGATTGAATCCTCTGGAAGAGCTGTGAGTTTAAGAGCTAGCCATCTCCCCAGCCTCCAGTAATTAGATTCTAGAAATTGTAGAAATTTGAGTTAGAGCTCATGTTGTATAGACTGCGAATGATAATTCAGACAGAACTTTAATTCTATAACCAGAAAACAGAAAGTTTCACTGATTATATCTGTCTCCTTATAAGCATATCCCTTCTAATAAACACCTAAGTATACATGATAGATTGTTGTGCAGATTCAGCTTTGAGACAGATAGGGTCCTTGGCTCCTTACTTCTCATAGGAATGGTGGACACAGGAATGGAATTGTTTGGCCTCAACCTCCCTTCTGTCCTTTTTGCATCCAAGTATATTTATTTGTAGATATGATTAATGCTTGGTCTATGTGTACCTTGGGGTCTCATGCTTTTCATATATCTTTGAGGTCAAAGCAATTCTTGTAGTAGTAGTAACAGTTCTTCTTCTTCAAGTTTGTGTGTACCTTGCACAGAAGCAGACTGAAACTGGAAATTAATGTGGAATAAATCAGGGCCCCCAGGCTTGACCAGCTGTCAAATTCACTTAAGTAAAGTTCCTATGGTATGGTTAAAAACAATGTCAGTGAACTTTGACCTTTTGGTGTATGTGTAAGGATACAATCCTTCTTGATTGTCTTAAAGCATTTGAGTGAATTAGCCATTAAAAAAGTACGTGGAGTGGCAGCGATGGCTCAGTGGTTAAGAGCACTTGTTGCAGAGAACCTGAGTTCAACTCTCAGCGGATGGTTCACAACCATCTATAACTTCAATTCCAGGGAATTCAGCACCCTTTTCTAACTCCACAAGCACACGTATTACACATACCTACATGCAGGGAAACTACCCATACACCTAAAGTAAAATAAATCTAAAAAAAATCTTAAATATGAATTATTCAAGAATTAGAAATAACCAACAGAAAGAATGACTATTTCCTTCATCTTAAACTTTTTATATGTCCTCCCTGTCTTTAAATTTGTTTGGAATATAAAGGTGATTTGAGGTCTAGAGAGATGGCTTAGTGGGTAAGAATGCTTGCTGTGCAAGAGAGAGGACCTGTATTCAAATCCCCAGAACCCACATAAAAGCCAGGCAGGTGTGGCTTGCTTTGCCACTGCTATAGTGAAGGAGATGAGAGGACATCTGGGCTTGCTGCCTGCCAGCCTATAGCCAGGTTAAGTGAGAGACCGTGTCTCTCCACACACATGCAAAGATATAGGTACCTGAATGTATGTATACATACAGTACATGTATATGCGACATACAACCCACATGTGTGTTTTTAAAACATACCTGTAGTGGATGTGGGAGAAATGACTCAGTTGTTAAGAGCACTGGGTATCCAACACCTTCTTTTTTAACTCTGGAGACACCAGTACATGTAGGCAAAACACTCATAAAATAGAAGATATTAAACAAATTGTGTGTGTGTGTGTGTGTGTGTGTGTGTGTGTGTGTGTGTCTGCAAGCACAGTGTGTGTACAAGTGTGACCATAGAAGACAGAAGAGGGTATGGTGTTCCAGAAGCTGGGGTTATAGGCATTGGTGTGATACTGGGCTTTTTGCGTGGGCTCTGGGACTTGAATGCAGTAAGCACTCTCAATTGCTGAGCCATTTTTTTCATCTCTGAAATAAAGTAAATCTTAAAAAGTGTTTATCTTTTTGTAACTTAGAAAGGAGTGAGACATTGTATAATATTCTTATGTTTCTCTCTCCCTGTTTCCTTCCCCCTAGCAATTTTTTTAACAAGCTTCTTTGCTGGATAGGATGACATTTGCAAAGTGCAAAGTGCAGCAGTTATTTTGAAAAACAAAGAACCAAATAAATTTAAATGAAATCAAATAAGTTCCTTTACTGTAAGAATTTTCTAAGCTTTTTAATATACTAATGTGCATTATGAGTTTTCACAAGGACACTGTGATGTGCAGAGTTTCCCAGATTAATCCCATTGAGGCACTGTTGGGAAAAGCCCAAGTCTGATTCTCACCCTTTCCTGGAAGGGATCGTCACTGTTTCAGATCATCTAGGAGGGGCTAGGGGCCTGCCCATCACAGATTTTTAATGGAGAAGCAGGAGCTTGTGCCAAATATTGTCATCTGCCTAATATACATCATTTTAATGTAATCCTCAAAACAGTCTTTAAGTTTTATTTCCAAATTATAGGTATGGAAACTCAAGGTTATACAGCTGGAGAGTGACAGAGATGCTCTTCTTTTTTTCTGCTAATGCTGGATAAAATCCTCTAAGTCCTCTTGCTGTAACCATTATGTAGTTCCCTAGCATCCAGTCTTATTATCTAGTGAGTCTAGTGAGTCTCTCAATACTCCTACATCCTAACCTAGTGCATTAGCTACGTTTCTCATTGTTATCACCAAATACTGCATGGGGTAAGCATATGGTCCATCATAGTGGAAGAAGGTATGGCAGAATTCATAGTGTTTGGACATTTAACTAGGACTCCTTACATCTGGGTAGACCAGAAAGCAAGGAACAGGGAATGCTATTGCTTAGCTCACTTTCTCCAGGTTATTCAGTGCAGGACATTAGCTATGGGATAATGCCATTTATGTCCAGTGGGTCTTCCTTCTCTCTCTGGAAATACCCTCACAGACATTCCCAGAAGTATGTCTCATAGGTAATTCCAAATTAAGTCAAATTGGCAAGGAAGATGAACCATTCCAGAGATCCTCTCTAAAAGGAAAAAGAGTATACTGTAAGGTACTTAAAAACTGGGTGGGAGTATACTGAAGAGATGGAAATCCTGAAGACCAGACTTCAGAATCCAGCATCACATTGGACCGCTTACAAATGCCTGTAGCTCCAGCTCCAAGGGATTGGATAACCAACCCCTTCTAGCCTCCTTGGGCACCTACACATGTATAATTGTATATATTCTCTCTCACACAGAAATAAAATAAATCTTTAAGAATAATAAGATGAAACCAGACAGATAAAAACCTTGAGTCTTGGATCTGCTATTATTCCTGGTCAAACTGCTTCTAATAGATATGAGACTACCTTGAGGACAACACATTTGAAATGTGTATCCTGTTCAAGTTGATAGCATCTAGGCTTAGAATGTTGGTCACTTACACACACTGTTCAGCATATACCGAATTGTTTTCTCTGAGGGAAGTATCATCCAATGAGAACATATTGTTTGTAAGGAGACTGTAGGTTGCTGCCAGGGATCCTTATCCAAATGATACTAAATGTAATGCTCAGAATTCCACAAGAGAGAAATGTATTCTCACATATGTGTAAGAGGGATTTCAGATTTAGATATGATGAACATTTGAGCAACTGAGCAACAAGGGTTTTATCTGATACCAAAGCTCTTTCTTGTCCAGCTGCTATTTATTGTAAAACGTAAACAATATGTATGTATGTATAATTTCTGGTGTACCCAGATGTAAGAAGTCCTAGCTAATTGCCCATAAATGCCATGAGCTCTGCCATACCTTTTTCCATCGTGATGGACCACACTTTTACCATATGAGGAATTTGGTAATAAGAATGAGAAAATTAAGAAAAAATATTTTTTAAGATTTATTTTTATGTGTTTTGGTACTGCATGTGTATCTGTGTACCTCCTGCATGTGGTACCCAGCAGAGGCCAAAAGAGGGCATCTGATTCTTTTGAACTAGAGTTAGTGACTGTTGTGAGCCACCATGTGGATATGAGTCATCTCTTCAGCCCCTGTTTATTGTTCTTCAAAGCTTGATAAAAAGTATTTTTTTTAAACTTACTTTTTTTTTTTTTTTTTTTTTTTTTTAAATGACAGGATGTTATTCTTTAGGCTAGGCTGGCCATGCAGTTTTTGTCACAGCATTCTTAATGCTGGAATTAGATTTGAGTCACTATGTCTGGATTATATGTCGGTTAATGTAGTCAGGGGTAATTCTGTCGGTAGGGAAATACATATTCAGGCTAAAAGAGAAAAGGTCTGTCTCTCAGTAATTTTGAGATATTCTCTAGTATTCACAGCATCTGACACATCTTTAGAGGACTGGTTTTGTTTACTTTTATGTTTTTATTCGAGGCAGGGTTTCTCTGTAACCCTGGAACTCTCTCTGTAGACCACGCTGGCTTCAGAGATTCACCTGTCTCTGCCTTCCAAGTGCTGGGATTAAAGGTATGTGCAGCCACTGCTCTTGAGGCAAGGTTTCTGAGTATCCCTGGCTGTCCTAAACTCACTCTGTAAACCAGACTGGCCTTGAACTCATAGAGATCTGCCTGTCTCTGCTTTCTAAATGTTGGGATTAAAGGCATGCAGCATCCCCTTTTTTATTTGTTTGTTTTAAAATTATTACACAAGGTTTTACTATGTAACCCTCATTGACCTGGAACTCACTGTGTAGATTGGCTACCCTTGAACTCACAGAGATTCACTTGCCTCTGCCTCCTGAGTGCTGGGATCAAAGGTGTGCACCACTACACTATCCTTTAGAGCATTTTATTCTACTTTTGCAAAAGCATTAAAGCATTTCAGAAGCTAGTTGTTTTGTTTTTGTTCTTTAAATAGAGCTATTCAGTGGCTAAGGCAGGAGAATCTCAACTTAAGGACTTGCTGGCTGCACAACATATTGTGTGCCCAGGTGTTGCATAGTTCTTCATCAGCTTTCAATGGTTTGTGGTTTAAAGTACAAGATTATCTGTAGATACTTTATGGAAAGAGAATGGTGAGAGTATCAGTGAAATATAGGCTTGGGGCTGCTGGACTCAGACAAGGCAGCTGCCGTTTCCTATCAATCTGTTGGATATTTTTGCACTTACTAATTCCTTAGAACACCTGCTTTTCCGCAAGAAGATAATGTTTGACTCTCAGTGACAGATGCAAATTATCCGCATGATTTTAAATTAAGAGTTGAAGTAAAATAGGGAAAAAATAGTTTCTGAGAAGTGACTAAATATATACTTGATGTTGAAGTATTCTGTGTTTGCTAACATTCTTTATCATTTTGGCCAGTTCCCACTTCTGTTCCTGATGGTCCAGCTCCCAGGCAGCTTTGCCCATTTTCAAGGCTAGCCTGGTCTACATTAAGTGGCAGGACAGCCAGAGCTACACAGTGAGACAAAAAGGAGGGGAGAGATGAGGAGAAACGAGGAGGAGTAGAAAGAAAACACAGAAAAGAGAAAGAATTTCAAACAGCAAGAGCTACATAATAAGATTCTGTTTCAAAAGGAAGAAAACCAAAAATAAATGAGAGAGAATTAATTAATTCAGTCTTGTTGGAAGAGTAACTTTAATTTAAAATGAAAAAAATTTAGGTTTAAAAGGTTGGCTGGCCAGGCATAGTGGTGCATGCCACTTAATGTAGATCAGGCTGTCCTTGAACTCACTGAGAATCACATGCTGTGATTAGAAGGCACCCCACACCCTCCCCAGCCAGCTTTCTTTTTGGTCTTCTGAGACAATATCTCACTATATAGTCTAGGCTGTTTTCAAATTCTTTATATGTTCAGGATGGCCTTGGTTTTCCTGCCTTCGTATGCTGGGATCATAGGCATATGCTGCCATAGCTGGCCATACGAATTATTTTAATCTGTAAGATACTTTGTAGGCATGTATACATCTTAGACCATTGTTGTTGAGATTTTGATATCTTTAATATGCAGTACTAAAGGTAATTTTATAGGATTGAAGTTTTCAGGTGAAAAAACTTAGGCAAAATGCAGATGGATTAGAATTTTCACAGAGGGCACTCTAAATAATTTTATATGGTTTTATTTTCATGAATTATATCTTAAAAAGTTTTCTGTGATGCAGTATATACATAATATGCACATGGATGTTCATTTTCTGTTCCTACTCATCTGTTATTCTTTAGTCTTCTTTAGCTTAGTTTATGATAAGTATATCTTTAAGTTGTATAGGCTAAAATGTTGGGGTTCTGGTCCCTTCTCCCTTTCCTTGACAGCCCATGTAGAAGTTATCAGTCATTTTGTTGGCAGGTTGGAAAATATGTGTAGCTCCCTTCTTAATTTGAAACTGCTAACTGGTGCACACCACTGTGAGGTCATTGTTGGCGTCTCACAGCTGCTATCTCTGCTCAGTTTGTTTCCTCCTAAGTCTATTTTAAGCACAGAAGTTGACAAGATCTTAGAAAATTTAACCAGTTATGATGTCATTCCTTTGCCGACTTTGCTCCCCAGTCATAGAAAATGACTTTCCACCCATCTGTCCTGCTAGCTCCTCCTTACTGCTCACTTGTCTCTGCTTCTTCTATCCATGTTGGCAACTTTATGTTTGCCCAGTCATGATGCTTAGCATTTTGGCCTTTAGGGGTCCTCAGCTTCATGCTGTATCTTTTCATCTGACCATCCTTTCTGAAGTCCCCAGCTTTTGATCTCTTCCTTCCCTGAATGGTCATTATTATACTTTGGCTCTAGGTTGTTAGACATAAATTAAAACCTTCGAGCAGAGGCCCATTTTAGAGTTCTGGTTCCTTATTTCATTTTGGACCCTTTCATCTTGTATTCTACAAGGAATTTCTTCAACTTGTCAGCTGAATAGATCATTAAAAATGTTATATATGTCCAGCATTTGAAGTGGCTTTGTCAGTCATTTTGCCAGAATTGAAAATCTCATGTACTTTTGTTAAGCAGTTAAGCTAAATCATTGAGTTCTCTGAATAATTTTGCTTTTCTTTCTTTGATCAAAGGATGGGAGACTACAGACAGGTGACCATATCTTGAAGATCGGTGGTACAAATGTGCAAGGGATGACCAGTGAACAAGTTGCTCAGGTGCTAAGGAACTGTGGGAATTCAGTGAGGATGCTTGTGGCTAGAGACCCTGTTGGTGAAATTGCAATAACACCTCCTACCCCTGTGTCTTTACCTGTTGCCCTGCCTGCTGTAACCAACAGGAACCTTGGTTCTGTGAGTATAAAAGCCATTCTTCTAACAACACATGCTGTCTAAGATACAAAGCTAGATAAGAAATTTTCTTGGCTGGATGACCACACTAGGAAAAGTCACACTTTAGTGCTCATATTTGAAGCAGATGAGAATTTATGATGAATATTAGACATGTCTATTTCTCTCACTTCCTCCTTTTGGTGTAGTATGTGTGGGTGTGTGCATGAATACCATGCATGTGTGCAAGTACACACACACATATGCCTTGAAGCAGAAATCATTCTTCTCTAATACTGTTCTCTACTTACTTTTGAGACAGAGTCTTGCAAAGTTGAGCTTGCCATTGAGCTTGCCATTTCAGTCAGACTGGATGGCCAGCAAGCCTCTGGATCCTATCTTGAGAGTACTCCCCAGTATTGAGAGCACTGATACATGCTTCCATGCCTGGCTTTTAACGCCTGGCCCTACAGCTCTGAACTTTGTTCCTCACACTTGCGTAGCAAGTGCTTTGCTGACTGAACCATCTCCCCATTTCTCCTCCCTATGAATAAAAGCATAAAGAGGCAGGAAGAGAAAGAGACTCTTAGAACAAGTGGAAGGCTAGCACTTATCTTTAGAGACATCATTTACCGGAAACCATATGAACAAGAGTTTTCTATCTGTGATATTAGCAGTTGCTTTGTATAGTTTCTCCAGGTTGAGGTGCTAATTGATTTCAGTTCTCTTCATTTTTCAAGCTCACTTAGGTTTTCTCATCCAGTCCACAAGGCTTTGTGATGTGTGGGGTTAGTTTCTGATGCTGATGTTTGGAATTAAAAAGCAGTCTTAGTGTTTAGATACCTTATCCCTTTGCAGAAATATTTAGAAGATATGTATTAAAGTTTTAAAGTCAGATTTTAAAAATATTATTATATACCACATCCAGCTTCCCCTTGGGTTCTAAATTTTTTGTTAGGCTTGTGATTTTTCCAGAAAATATAGCCTGAGGATTTTCTAAATGGCTGTTTTAATTTTTCTGTTATAAGTTGTTACATATTTAGCAGCTAAGGAAAAACCTTTGGCAAATTTGCAGTTCTGTGGGTCAGAATTCAGAGTAGGCTTGGCTGGGTTTTCTACCTAGATTCTTATAAGTGTAAGTGAAGGTATTGGTTCTTTTGTGCTCTGTTCTTGACATACTGGGCTCAGGAGCTCCTCTAGGCCCTTTTCTTTGTTGGCCTTCTTCCACAACATCTTTTAAACCCTTAGGTCCCCTTGTTCCCATCTTTCTTGTATGACCCCTCCAACTTCATACCACATGCTGATCTTGTATGTTTAAAATCTATTTCCTTGCCCTTTCTATTAGCAACAGGAGAAAACTCTGTTCATAAGGGGCTACTTTGATTAGATTAGGAACTCCTTTGCCATCTGATTTTACAAGCACAGGGGCAGGTCTAGGGATGGGAAATCATCGGGACCATCCTAAAATTCAGTTTGTCACAGAAAACACTAGGCAGACTGGGTGCACAGATTAACTATGTATACAGTTATCAACTAAAAATCTAATAATGGTTATGTTATATCCCTGCAGGACTGTTTTCCTTTTGAAACTTATAATGTTGAACTTGTTAAAAAAGATGGACAGAGTCTTGGGATTAGAATTGTTGGCTATGTTGGAACATCTCATCCAGGTAAATGAATCATTTCTACTTAATATTTTGGATAATTATAAAGGATGTTAAGGTTTCTAGATAATAAAATTAAGTACTCACAGACTTTAATGTAAAACTCAAACACTAAAACTGTGAATCTATAATAGCAAGCAGTTGCTTTTCAGTGATTAGAGTCACATTTTGCCCCAGTAGTTTAACAGCTGATGTTATAGTTAGTAATAAAGGAATGTAATGTACAGTACATTTTGTAACATTGGGACTTCATTTTTCTTTGCTTCTAAAATAATTCTGTTTTGACTATTATGTGACTGTTAATGTATTATACAGTATTATGTCTGGAATAAAGTAAATGTATGTTGTGAATGCCCAAAATATGTTTGTGTTTAATCATGAAAAAAAAAGATAAAAAGTAGTTTATTAGAACTTTTTTTTTTTTTCATATAAGGGGAGTGCATTGTGAGAATACATGATTCAAGTATCTGAATAAAATGTTTTCAAATGTTACCTGAAAGTTAGCAGTAACTTTCACTGTTAGTTTTCCTTTGGTTATTGAAGAATTACTAGGTTAAGTAAAAATAAACCTTTTAGAAAGATTTGATAGTTACATGAAAATATATTTATGAAGTATTTTAGTTTTTCTGAAAAATAGTGAGTGTAGAATATTAATTGCTTAAAAAATGTTGTCACCATGCATTGGAGCAGGTGGGGAGATTAAGAGTGCTAATGTATTCACAGGCCTGAATGAAATTCATGTCAGACCACTTTGCTATTTTAGCCTAATGAAATATCTAATTTCAAAACTTCTGATTCTTCTGCGCACCATCCTTTTTAGGTTCAGAATTTAAAGAAGTCCCTTAAAAGCTAAGTATTGGTTAAAAAATAATGTTCCAGAAAATATATTGAGTTTATATATATAATATTTTTTTTTATTTTGGTTGTGAGCCTAGCCTTTAACGGCTGAGCCATCTCTCCAGCCCAATATTTTATTATTTTTTGAGACAGGGTTTGTATGTGTGAGTCTGGCTTCAAACTCAGAGATCTGTCTGCCTCTGCCTCCCAAGTGCTGGGATTAAAGGAATGTACCACAACTGCCTGGCTCACTATCTAATATCTTGTTAGAGTTGAGTTGTAGCTTAGTTCCTAAACTTACGCTTCAGTGAATGAGAGACAATTGGGTGGTTTTGTGTCACTAGTACAGAAAAGAACCTTTTTACTTATTTACTCTCAAAATGTGTGGGCTTGGGTGGTTTTGAGAGGATGAGCATATGAGTCAAAAATAATGAGACATTTGAAATGTCAACAGCTTTTAAAGACATGTATAGAAAGAACTTGCACTTTATTTATACCCTTTTATTCCCTTTTTTTTTTTTTTTTTTTTTTTTTTTTTTTTTTTGGGTTCTTTTGTTGTTGTTGCTGGTATTTGGACAGGCATGGTGGCATGCTCCTGTAATCTCAGTCACTTCAGCAGCTGAGTAGGCAGGGCCACTTGAACTGTGTTTGAGGCCAGCCTGGAAAACATAGAGAAACTTCATGTTCGAAACCAAAACAAGTAAAAAAAGTCTATCCAGGATGTGTAATTAAAGTGTAAAACCCTTTAAATGTTTGGAGATAACTGGAAATACTATTTTAGTAGAGGGGCAAGCAGCTGTTTCAGCATGGCAGATGAAGAATTGAAAGTCTAGAGGAGAATTGAGAGAGAAGCCTTTGTGGAAACGAGGGAGGAGGGTTAGATAGGGAAGAAGCAAACTTGTAGAGTCAGGAAAGCTATGGCATTTGGTACAATGTTAGTCTGGGTGTCAGGACTTGTAGAAGGAATAATGTGGAAGATGCTATTGAAAAGCAAGTTATTTTTCCTGATATGGAAAATCTGGGTTATGATTCAGTGAAGTTTATGTATTATTATGCTGGCAGTGGAAACTTGACAGTTTTTCAATATCTCAATTTCTCTTGTAGTTCTTTCTCTTGGGAATGTACTTTTTATATGGTTATAATTTTTTTTATAGCTGTTTGTGGTCAAGTATTTAATTTTACAGTATAAGGATTATTTCATGCTGCTGAGCTCATTCTATTTTTAAAAATTATTATTATATGCATTTAGGAATGTGTATGCTTGTCAGAGGGCTACTTTGTGAAATTGAGTTTTTCCACTATTCTGCGTATTCCTGGGATTGAACTCAGATTGCCAGGTCATCTTGCTGGCCCCCATTGTAGCTTTTCAGAAAGACCACATGTGCTTTCTTTTTATCTGGATGGCACACGCGAGCACTCAACTAAGTATGGTCTTAATGCTAGTGAAAAATGGTGAGAGGTTAAGCTGAGTCAGCAGTTCAAGATGGGATAGACCAGGGTCCATGTTGGCCCTCCAGAATTCCACTTTAGAGAGAAATGTATTCATCAAGGTTCCATTACTGATTATTTTTCCAGAAGGGTAGTCATCAGTCAAATCATTTTGAATTCAGGTCACTTTGTGATGGTGACAGTTTGAAATAATCCATCATTTATCCTGCATGTGTTCAAAATAGTATTTATGAAGTCTCAAGTCAGCCTCTTTAGCTAATTAACCTCTTGATAAGAATTTTGCAATCAGGCCCTAATTTTAGCTTTCTTCCTTTTTTCTGTATGTCTGTGTACTTTCAGGGGAAGCTTCAGGGATTTATGTGAAAAGTATAATACCGGGCAGCGCTGCGTACCACAATGGCCAAATTCAAGTGAATGACAAAATAGTGGCTGTAAGTAATGGCTTTCTTTTGTACAATTGAATCAAGTTTGAGAAAGGTTGGTTTTTCTGTGATATGCGAGAGAAGAAGATTGCTTATTTTAATTTTGTAATTTTAGTTTTGTATTATTTTTAGGGGTTTTTTTTGTTGTTTGTTTTTTGTTTCAGGGGCTCACTATGTAACCTTGGCTGGCCTAGAGTTCATTTTGTAAGCCAGGCTGTCCTTGAATTTAGAGATCCACCTGCTTCTGGCTATCAAGTGCTGTGATTAAAGTGGTGTGCCACCGTGTCCAGCTCATAGAGTTTTAAAAAATTAGCTTTATTAGTACAGGGAAATCACATTGATTCATGCTCTTACATGATTCTAGGCTCTAAATATAATTTATTCCAGCCAAAGAGGAAACATTCCACTAAATATGTTGGTAGAAAAAGTTACACATTTACTTAAATAAGTGTATGCATAGAAATGTATCTGAAAGATGTTTTTATGTCCTCTAGGAAATTCTCTTTAAGAGTCTGTTTGTGCTGCTGGGTGGTGGTATTGCATATCTTTAATCTCAGCACAGATCTCTGTGAGTTCAAGACCAGCCTGGTCTACAGGGCAAGTTCCAGGATAGCCAGGGTTACACAGAAACCATGTCTTGAAAAACCAATCCCCTCCCCAAATGTCTATATAGTCACCCATTTTTTATTATTATTATTATTATTATTATTATTATTATTATTATTATTATTATTTTGGCTTTTTGAGACAGGGTTACTCAGTATTGCTTTGAAGCCTGTCCTGGACCTAGCTTGGTAGAGTTGACTGGCCTCGAACTCACAGAGTTCACCTGTCTCCCGAGTGCTGGGATTAAAGGCATGCTCCACCAACGCCCGGCTTTATTCACCCATTTTATACAGTGAATAATCCATTTACCAGTTCTTGCTGCTTCTTTCTAAACATTTTTGAATACATCAAAAATGGAAATACTTTATATATTTGAGAATATAACCTTCTGCTAGTTAAAATTAGGTGTCCTGTGTGCCTCCTCCCTCCCAACCCCCTTTTCTGTCACCCTGGCTGTCCTGAAACTAATGCTGGAGACCAGGCTGGCCTATAATTCAGAGATCCATTTGCCTCTGTCTCCTGAGCTCTGCAATTAAAGGTCTGTGTCACCATTGCTTTGCTAGTCTCCCCTTTTACTAGAGGTAAATTTATATCTACATGCTTTGCTGTCTGTTGCACACACTGAGTTACATAGAACCAGATGATGGGTGATGTGATTAGAGTCCATCTAAGAAAGAATATTTCATGAATATTGGCTGTTACCTTAATGGGCTTATCAGATGTCTTTTGATGGTTGCAGGGTCTGGAGGCCAGTAGGAACATTGCATGCTTTGAGAAGTTAGGAGGAAATCAAAAGCAATGGTCTGGCCTGCCAGGCTTCATGCACATATGTTTTTCAGAGCACTAGAAGACCCAATGGTGTGAAAACTGTGTTTCTGTGGAAACTATCACATAGTGATTCCACATGGCAATAACTCTTCAGTGTTGGTAATGAATTTTATAGGTACATTTGAAAACTGTGTAACAATTAACCAGATTGTATAGCTTTTTAATTCTTAAAAATCTTGATTATTTCTAGAGAAGTCTCTTGCATCTTTCAGGCTGATAGTTAAAATGTGTGACTTAAGAATATAAGTTTGAGTTTATTTTCTTATTTGCGTGTAAATTTGTCAGCAAAACTAGTGTTTTATTTTTATTCAAAAATACTTTCTGGTATAATATGCAGTATTTGGGGAGTAAAATTAGCTACCCTATTTTATTCAGCATTGCCAAATTAAAATGGGAGTAGTTGATAGGCACTATGACTCAAATGCCTCTAGTCCCAGCACTCAGGAAGCTGAGGCAAGAGAAACACTGAATCTGAGGTCAGCTTAGGCTGTGTTTTGCACTGCATATTGAGACCTTCTTTCAAAAACCAAAATACAGATGGTGGTAGTTTACTTGAAACTGTGTTCTCTCTCAATGTCATAGGTGGACGGTGTGAATATTCAGGGTTTTGCCAACCAGGATGTTGTTGAAGTATTACGAAATGCAGGGCAGGTGGTGCACCTGACCCTAGTTCGCAGGAAAACATCTTCATCTGATTCTCCATTTGAACAGCTTTCAGGCAGAGGTAATTAATGCTCTCGTCCCCTTCTTCCCCATGGAGCAGAGTTTGGAAAAATGGCAAAGGTGTGGTTTGGGAGGTTGAGTAGGAGTTGTTCCTTATCCTTTGTAATGTTGTGATGGAGAGATGAGTCAGCTTGTCTACTTTGCATAGTCATTTCCCTGGCCTACTGCAATGCATCAGGATGCAAGCAGTGATTGAGTGAGCCAAGAGTGACTCCAAATGGAGACAGAAATCATTGTTTTGATCCAGGATCCTTCATTCACTTATACCTTGACATTTCTCAAGCTTCAGATCCCAGATTGCTTTTATGATGTGTTTTACTCTAGTTATCTCTTCATTTGTCTTTTGAAGTATGGTGAAAAAATAAAATAGAAATTTTTACCAAGAAAATTTTTATTAAAAATAATATAATTTGCTAATAAGGTTATAAAATAGCAACTCTTCATTGTGGAAAAATACACAATTTTTTGGATACCAGAGGACTTATTTTGGAAGACAGTTTTTTCTCTCTATCATGGTTTCTGAAGACTGAACTAAGGCTATCTGTCTTGCTCACAAGTCCCTTTGCTGGTTGAGCCATCTGGCTGGCCAGTATTTGAGTCTTTGTGGCACACAATCACATTGTGTTGTGCTATTAAAGTTCTCATTGTACATGACTGTATTCCCCTGCTTCTTCAGGAGCTCTGAGTGGCATTGTATAATTTAAAAAATTACTCTGTGACTTTCTATGAGTGTTTGTTTGCATGCATGTCTGTGCACCACTCATATTCCTGGTGCCTATGGAGGCCTGAAGATCATCTGATCCCTTGGAAGTGGAGTTATAGACAGTTTTTAGCTGCCATATGGGTGCTTGGGATAGAATCCACGTCCTCTGGAAGAGCAATCAGTGCTCTAAACTGCTGAGTATCTTTCCAGCTCCTCTGGCATTTAAAGAAAGATTAATTCCAGTTTCGCCAGGCATGGGGATGCATTATCTTTAATCCCAATACTAAGGAGGTAGAGGCAGGCAAGTCTCTGTGAATTCAAGTCCACCCTGATCTATGCAGTAAATTCCAGACCAGTAAAGTTTAAATAGTGAGGCCTCTAAAAAAACAAAAAAACAAAAACAAAACAAAACAAAAAACACAAAGAAACAAAACAAAAAAACCCCAAACAAACAAAAAAGCAAAAAACCAAACCAACCAACCAAACAAAACCAATAAATGAATAAACTTTAAGTTCCAAGGGATCAAAATGTTCTACTCTGATCTCTCCAGGCATTGGGCATCCACATGGTCAAAACACACATAAAAAAAAACAAATAAATCTAAGAGGATTAGTTGTTTTTCTCATTGCCATGACCAAATACTTACCAAGAAATATTTAGAAAGGAAGGGTTAGTTCTGGCTCGTAGTTCAAAGGACACTGTCCATCATGCTGGGGTCGGTATGGTCACCGGGGTGAGACACTAGCTGGTCACAGGATATCTCTAGTCAGGAAACAGTGAGGAGTGCCAGTGTCTGACACTTTCTCCTTTTCTTCAGGATCTAATCCGATGGAATGGGGTCACCCTCAGTCACCCTAATTTAGATGATCTGTCACAGGAATGACCAGCAATTCGTTTCTAATTAGTTCTAAATCCCATCAACTTGACACTTGATTCACCTTCACACTGGGTGTGGGGGTCACACCTTCTGTCTCAGCTCTCAGGAAAGCAGGTGGATTGTTGTGACTTCAAGGCCAGCCTGGCTTATATAGCAAGTTCTAGACCGGCAAGGGCTATATAGTGAGATGCTGTCTTAAAAAAAGATTCTCTGTTGTTAACTTTGTGCACATTGTTGACTGGCCTAGCCATAGAACTTCCCCATCTTCTGTGATGGAGACTTTGTGTCATTAACTTCAGTTACTCCTCCTTGGCAGCTGCCATTTTACTCTTTCTTTGAGTTTGACTGTGGGTAGAGCCATATGCAGTATATGTCCTTCTTTACTGAGCTAATTTTACTTCACATAGTGTCCTCCAGGTTCAGCCAGGCTCTAAGAATTGATTAGGTTTCTTTTTTAAAGAATCAATAATATTTATTTTTTTATATATACATTTTATTTATGTATTCATGCTGTGTTCACTGAAGCTGTTTCTTTGTCTTGGTTATTATAAATAAATAATGCTTCAATTAATGATTGACATTTCTTATCCTAGTACTATGTATGCATTTATTTATGGTCTAAAAATTACTCTGTGAGTGGTTTTAAAGTTTCATGTTACAGTCATAGGAGTTTAGTTGGTTGTATGTCTGAGTTCTCTGCTATTAAAACATTTCAGGCATATAGAAAAACAAACAGAACAGAACACCCAGTCGCCTTCCACTTATATCTGATAGTTGCCATCTCCCCATATTTCTTCTGAACCATTTTAGAGTGAGTTGTATAGGCATCATGAAAATATAGTTATTTGTAACGAGTATTTGTAACGAGTTATTTTCTTAAACAATAATACTATTATTACAACAAAGAGAAGTAATAGTAATATCTACTATCAAATACTTTGTACATATACAATTTCTCATTAGATAATGCCAGGGAGATTGCTCTGTGGGTAAAAGTATAGCATGAATAATAAAAACCCAGAGTCAGATATTGGGGTTCAAGCTGAAGATCAGAAAAGCAAAGCAGCCATCCAGTAGCTCTTACCTTTACCAAGGCTGAAATGGAGATCCTGTCTTCCCTGTGACTGGAAACTGAATCTCACATGAATCCCCTTGCTTCCTCCTACATACCTCTCTAGTGCTGGGACTAAAGGGATGAGCTCTGTTTTTCTTTTAGAGTGATTTACTCTCATGTTAGCCCAGGGTGGCCTTGAATTCACAGAGATCAATATGTTTCTGTCTCTTTAGTCCTGGGATTAAAAGTGTGTGCTACTACTGCCCAGCTTCTGTGGCTGTGGCTAGCTTTGCATTCTGATCTTCAGTGGCTTTATTAGGTTATAAACAATGTATCACCACATAAAAGAGTAAGAATGCTTGCTATATAAGCATGAAGATCTGAATTCAAATACCCGAAATCTATTTAAAAAGCTGAGCATGGCTATGCATGGTTCTGTAAACCCAGCACTGTGAGAGGTGGAAACAGGAGGATTTCTGGGGTTTGCTGCCTGCCAGCCTAGCTCCAGGTTCAGAAAGAGCCCATCTCAAAGGAATAAGGTGGAGAGTGACAAGTGGACACTTGAAGTCCTCCTCAATTCTCTGTGTGCATGCATGCCAACGCACACATATGTGCATATCATCAGACACACAGACACATTTCCCAGTTACCCTGAAATGTCTGTCTTGTATTTTTTCTCCCACTCCTTCTGACTCTTCCCTGAAAGTGCTTCCTAAATCATGTATCCCATGTGTGTTGACTATGGTTTCTGAATATAGAAGTCCTTCATCCCTGCTCTATGTTTTTTGTTTGTTTGTTTTTTTAATCTTTTTTTTTCTGAAGGGATTCATCTATTAGACACTGAAATACCACAACCTGAATTTTGATTATTTCTTTGCAGCTTTATACTTTTAATAAAAAATTCTTTTGTAAAGAGCTGTAGCCATGGCTCAGTGGTGGTTCAGAACACTTGCTCTTGCATGGGGCCCAGATTCAGCATGCAGCATACATGAAGGCTCATAATGATCTGTAACTCTGGTTTGAAAGGATTTGACACACTCTTCTGTCCTGCAGTTACCAGGACACACTTGATGAGCAAAATGCTCATACCCATTTAAAAAATAATTAAAAATTTAAAAGATGATGGGGAATTATTTTTAATAAAATGAAACCTCTAAAGTATCACGAGTTCTGCTTTTCTTCTGTTTAGTGACTTGCTGGTACCTTTAACTTTGTCTCATGTCTTGTCTGAGGAAAAGGAGGGGAGCCATCTGCACCCAGGGGAGCTCTCGCACCCCCTGTCTCAGAGGTTGCTTGTTTGGCTTTCCACATGTGCTTGATGGTTGGTCCAACCTGTTTGCATATGTTGCTCAGTTCCTGTCCACAACAGCAAGAGAATACAGCCTTCTTTCTCAATTGTTGTTGGTTTCTTCTTTTTTTCTAGAGCTATGTTACAAAAACATCTATCCTTCTTTTGTCATGGACCTAACCTTGTTTTTCATTTTCTATACTTCCTCATTCTTTGAATACTATCAAGCTGTTTTTTAAATTAATTAGTTACCTACCCCACAGAAAACTTTAGTATTAAAAGAATCACCTGCAGTGAGGTCCTGGGAAAGGTGAATAATAGTGAAACTTTCAAGTTTATTTGAATGTGCCACCCCATTTCCCCACAGGACTAGTGATTCAAGCCAGCAATTCTCATTTTAGGAACTGTTGCAGAACTACCTAAAGTACCAGCCCTAACGGGATCCCAGAAAGCAGAAACTAATTTGGGTACTGAAGCAGAGGAAATTGGTGAAAGATTGGATATTCTAAAAAAGGACAACATACAAGCATTAGAAAAACCAGGTAGGCCCAAAGCCTTTTCTTTGGAGTTCTTCAACGTTTTTTGTTTGTTAAACATTTCTTTTTTTATAGTTAATTTGTTGCTGCATCTGTAGAATCAGTATTATACCAGGAGCTTTGTAAAGCTACAAATTATAGACAGAGTTTCTGTCCTGCCTGGTCCCACAGCTGTTTAGATCCAAATAATCAGAGAGGCTTATATTAATTATAAACTGTTTGGCCAGTGGCTTAAATTTCTTATTGGCTAGCTCTCTTTTAATTACTAACCCATTTCTATTAAACTATGTATTGCCACAAGGCTGTGGCTTACCTGTAATGCCCCAACATGTTACTTCCTCAATGGCTACATGGAGTCTCTGGTGACTCTGTGTTTCTCTTCCCAGAATTCTGGTAGGCCTGGCCATACTTCCTGCCTGGCTACATCCTGCCTGTCCATTGGCTGAAACAGTTTTATTCATCAACCAATAAGAGAAAATGTGTATTCACATCATATAGAAGGATCTTAATATCTTAATAACCAGGTAGCAACTAAAGACCTGTATAAAAGCAGTCTCTATCTGATAGAAGCTCATACTGTACAGCCATCTTAGCGATGTAAGGTAGGATATTTTGCTAGGGATGTACCACCATGGTAGAATGCATGTATGAGGCCCTAAGTGCAATCCCTAGTACTGCCACCAACCTCACAAACCCCCACATTTTAATAAAATGGGGTGTTTTGACTATTAACACACTTGTCAGTAGAGTACCAAGTGTATTTTTGTTTGTTTATGTTTCAGATGCATATGTATTATTATGCAGTAATTACATATTTTAATTACTATGTATTCTTATGTTATGGTTGTATTTATATCTAAATATTGTAGTTACCTGTTTATAGGTAGAAGTGTTTCTTCTTTATAAAAGTTAACATGAACTTTTTTATATGTTGCGTCAAATGGCAGGCTTATATGTTTAAATTTTTTGGATTTTTTCCAACTTTGACCTTTTACACTGTACTTTGACACTTCTACAGAGGTACTCAGGAAAGCTTTGCCAACTAAGGGAAACTTCCTAAAAGATTTACCGCCATCCATGTTTCAGAGAAGCTGGCATTTGGCTTTTTTATATTAGAGAAGGTAGCTGAAAAAAAGGTATTAATGTCTCATTCAAGATAAAGGTCTTAGGAACCACTTCCATCCCCTTTTGGATCCAAGTAGAGTGTAATTAATTGTTACTATTTATTTTAATTTAGTTGGTCTCAGATGAATATCAAAGAACTAGGTAAAAATCAGGTAAACCTGAAATTAGAAATATGGTGTTTCATTGCTATTGTCATTATTTTCTTTGTTTTTGAGAAAAGGTGTTAGTGTGTAGCTCAGGCTAGCTTAGAACTCACAGTGCTCTTGTCTTCATTTCCCTATGCTGTACCCATGCATTTTTGTTGTTGATAATTTTTAAAAATTTTTATTGTTTTTATTTTGAGATAGGATCTCACTATGTAGCCCTGGCAGACTAGAATTTGCTATACAGACCACAGGCTGGCTTCAACCTCACAGAGATCTGCCTGCAGCTACCTTCTATATGTTGGGGTTAAAGGTGTATACCACCACACCCAGCATTGTGCTCATGTTCTAAAAATGAATTTCACACTATGCCTGGGTATAATTTCAGTTTGCCAGCATGCCTGCCTCTACTGGCTTCTGTAACATCAGTCTCTGACTTACCTGCAGGATGGTTGCTTTACTCTATTGTTTGATTCTCTGTGCAGGTTTTTTGTTGCTATTGCTACTGCTAGTAGGTTAATGACCTTTGTCTAGCCCTTCATCCTCTGAGCTGTGCTTTAAAACACATAGCTGTGTGTGCTTTCATTGTTTACCTGGAAGGCAAAAAACAGCCCAATGGACTTGAATCATCAGCATCTTTTACTGGGGTGAACTTTGTGTCATCTGATTACCATGTTTGTAAGCTTAGAGTTCTCTCAACACATTGTAGATTTTGTTCAGAGTCATATAGCAAATATGAAACTGCACCTGGAAGACACCAAACAGGCAAATTGTTGAAACTTTTAAAGAATTTGGGAAAGGGGCTGGAAAGGTGGTTCAGTGGGTAAAGGTACTTGCAGTAAGCTTAAAAAACCCAAGGTCAACTCCCAGAACCCACACAAGGTTGTTCTGTGATGTCCACATGTATGCTGTGGCTTGTAGATTCTCCCTTCTTCTCCCTACCCCCACACAAATAAACAAAAAAAAAAAAAAAATTAAATACATAAATAAAAAAGAAGAAGAAGAAAAGACATTGTAAGAACTCAGAATTTCTTAAGGAAATATTTCCAGGAGTTCATGCTACCCAAATGTTTTAATAGGATCTTTGATTAGCTGCCCCTAAATGTAATCTAGCATATCAGTTAATATAGTTATTTCCTGGATGTTCTTTTGTAAGTGGAGTGATTTAAGTTCTTTGGTATTCATTAGTCTTAGTCTCTGATTCTGGAGTTAGCCGATTTAACTTAATGATTTGTAGTATGTAATTAAGCGTTCTTTGCAGCCAAAGTGAGCTGCTCCGTGGATAAAAAGAGCTGATGCTGCGTGTTACATTTGACGGTAAGCAGATGGTTATGTCACTTGTGATAAGTGTTCTGTGACATGTCCAATCTTACAGCAGAAATGAGGAACTTAAAAAAACGTGGAACCTTTTTATCCTCTGCTATTAGTATGGATGTAAGTGCAAATAATAGTTTAGTACTTTGACTTTTATCTGTTAGGCAGTCTTCAGACTGCTCAATACTCAGAGAGGCTGGGGAGGATTCTAAGGGACGATAGGCCTGGCTCTTCATATATGTCTCTGCTTTTAAAATGATCTCACCTGTGTAATAATGGCACCATTAAATGGAGAGATTGAAAAGCTATAAATATCCTAATAAATAAGCAGCAACAAAAGACTGGTATAAAATTAAAGTTTCTATCTGATGGAACTCAGGTTTTGCCAGACAGCGTTTCTGCCCATCAGGCGTGTAGATGCCTGGCTGTGTTGTGTCACTGATTGTTGTTGATTATAGTGCTAGCTCCATAAGCATTTATGTTCCCAGTGGAGAGGTGGAATGGTACTGCTTTGAAAAGATTACCATTTAAATAAGTCTGCATAAGACCTACAAATAAAACTAAGCCAAATATGTAGGTTCACTACGTAGAAACTATATATTCAAATTTCCCTTGTAACTCACCACTTCCTCCTCCCTTTAAAGTATTCCTGAACAAAAGCCCCTTCACAAGTTTGTCACAGGTCATTTTACATTTTGTATTATTCTCATAAGTCACTTTGATTTACATTACAAGTTAGATTTAAATTAATACATTTCATTTTACTCATTTCTCCTTTTCCTACTGAAGCTGAGAAGAATTTGTTAAAGAATTTGTTAATTAAATATGTTTGGCTCACAGCAGCTTCGGTGTACTTTTTCTCATAGATGTACATCCAAAGAAAGTCCCAGGCTCTCCAGAAAATGAACTGAAATCCAGATGGGAAAATCTACTGGGCCCAGATTATGAAGTAATGGTATGTTAAAAAAAAATATTGTGATAGAAAGCTTCGTTTCACACTCCTAACACTATAATTTAAAATGACATGAGAGAATCAGAAGACATAGGCTGCTTCAATTGTTCTCTTCCTGTCTTTCTTTCCTATTAGAGCAGTCAATCAATCTTTAAAGTGTTTTAAGCTATAAGAACAATTAAGGGCTGTACACAAACTTCAGTTACAATTACAGACACTCAGTGCACATTGAAGCCGTGTAGGTCAACAATAGGCAGCAGATCATTAGGAGGGTGAAAGCTTGCCTTTGAATTTATAACTTGAATGAGCTGCTTAAAATGGCTGGCATCTTTATGATTGCTTTTATGATCTGTTTGTTTTATTGTACACTGAAAGGGCTGTGGATATTAGTCCTATGTTTCACAAAGAATCTTACAGTTTTATGAGAAAAATGAAAGAATGATTATGAAATGTATTTAGAAGAACAGGAAGTAATTTAGGCGAGGTATGAGTTTATGGAGCCAGCAGGCCATTAGGTTTCCTTTCACCTGTTATTAGATTTGGCCAGTAAAAGATTGGTTACATTTCCCCAGTGAAGCCACATGAAAGGAGAAAGCTGCATTAGAAACTCTTATCCGTGTTCATCAAACATGGCAATAAAGTATCTGTTGTCTTTCAAATTTCCTTTTTTGAGATAAGGTCTTGTTATATAGCCCTGACACATTCATTCATATATATGTGGTTATTAATACTGGGTTGTCATTAATGGTGAACATTTAATTTTGTGTTTGGAATCTCTGGCCACTGTTCACCAGAGCAGCCTAAATGTCATTAAGATGAGTCATGTGGTCACCTTCTTGCTCATTCTGGGCTTGCATGTTAGTACTTGTACCTTTGGGGTCTCTGGCTCATGTGCTTTGTCACTGGGCTACTACATAAGTCACATATTCTCATATGTATGTATGATCAGAGAGTATGTGGCTAACCAGTTGTAAGATGGGATTTTTGCTCTCACTGTTTGGAAACAGGGTGTCATGTAGCCTAAGCTGCCCTCAAGCTTGCTATATAGCTAAGAATGACCTGGAACTTGTGGTCTTCCTTCTTTCACCTCCTCAGCTGAGGGATTATAGTCATGAACTATCAGGCCTGATTTATGATAGCTCAAACTCAGGGCTTTGTGCTCTTCACTAACAGCCCTGTTGGGGAATAAAACTGTGATGGAGGTGTGTGTGTGTGTGTGTGTGTGTGTGTGTGTGTGTGTGTGTGTCAAAGTTTTATTCTCTGTATATCAGAGTTTTGTACATCAAATAGTGAAGTCGGGGCTAATAACAGGAAAGAAATTTTAAGTTGGATCTATATTGTCATTCCTTTAAAGTTATAGGTATACCAGGGGAAAGCCTGGCAAGACAGATGAGTGAATGGATCTATACATTCTACTGTTACTTATTGTATTTTCTTCCAGAGTCCTACTAGTCTTTTTTTTTTTTTTTTTTTTTTTTTGCTAGCTTGTTTTCTGTGGAGAAGTGGGTACTGATTTGAGACTGGGTCTTTTGTAGCTCTGGTTTGCCTAAAACTCTGTTGTTGAGACCAACCTTGAACTCCTGATTCTCTTACCACCATATCTATGCAGCTATCTTACAGAATTTAAGACCTGAATTTGAAATTTTGAAACATTAATTTTGTCAAGAGAAAAAAGTTTTATATATATATATATATATATATATATATATATATATATATCCAACCTTCCTTCCTTCCTTCCTTCCTTCCTTCCTTCCTTCCTTCCTCTTTTTTCCTTTCTTCCTTTCTTCTTTCCCTGAGACAGGGTCTCAGCATGTAGTTCTGGCTGCCCTAGAAGAATTCACTATGTAAACCAGGCTGGTCTCGAACCCACAGAGATCTGCCTGCCTCAGCCTCCTGAGTGCTGTTATTAAAGGTGTGTGCCACTATGCTTAGCTAAGAGTAAAAAATTTTTGGTTTGTTTTTTTGAGACAGGGTTTCTCTGTGTGCTCTGGCTGTCCTGGAACTCACTCTGTAGACCAGGCTGGCATCAAACTCTGACATTCACCTGCCTTTGCCTCCTGAGTGCTGGGATAATTTTTTAAAATATTTTTTGCGAATGTGGGTATGAGTATGGGTCTGACTGCGGCCTGGTGTGAATGTGGAGGTCAGAGGACAACTTTCTGGAGTCAGTTTTCTTCTATCAGTTTTCTTCAATTTTTGCATTTGTTTTAAAGATCAAGCTCAGGTCATTGCTTGCACAACAAGAGCTTTTACCTGCTGAGCCATTTCAAAAACTATGTATTTTCTGTGTAAGTGCCTGACTGAGTGTATATGCATGGGCACCACCTTTGTGCTTGGTGCCCACAGAGGCCAGAAGATGGTGTCAGATTCCTTAGAACTGGAGTTACAGATGTTTGTGAGCCACTGTGCGTGTGGAAATCAAACCCAGGGATTCTGGAGAAGTAGCCAATGTTCCCCCTGCTGAGCCATCTTGATGCAGCAAGAGTACAATTTTACATACAGATCTTATATAATGAGTATTTTATTAAAATTTGGAGGATCATAGAATTTAAAGTTGGTATAGTCAGTCAGGCCTTCCTATTTGGCTCCATGTCACTGTAATTTAAACACATTTGGGGGGAATTTTCATTAGAAATGACCATGCACAAACTTTTGTTTTCACATCATTGTTTCCAAACAACATACTGTGACATATTTATGTAGCACTTTTTCTTATTAAGTATCGTAAGTAATTTAGAGCTGATGTCAATATAAAAACATATTACACCTTCATGAAAACTTGAGCAATCTCTCAATATCAAAAGATGGATGTGTGTGTGTGTGTGTTGTTTAGATATTAACCTGACATTTATTGGTAGACATCTGTAGAAATTAATTTCTTTTTTCTTAATGTATTTTTATTTTATATGCATTGGTGCTTTGCCATGGTGTCAAGTCCCTTGGAACTGGAATTAAAGACAGTTGTGAGCTGCTATGTGAGTGCTGGGAACTGAACCCAGTTTCCTCTGAAAGAGCAGTCAGTGCTCTTAACTACTGGACCATCTTTCCAGCCCCCAGAAATAAATTTGTAAAAAGGAATAGTACTTTACCGATTACTTGTAAGCTGCTAATAAAATACAGCCCATGCAGAGGGAGGGCAAGAAATCAAGTTAAATATCACCTTCAGTTCAACTTCTGGATAATTTAGTATGAAAAGGTTGGTGTATAGAATAACAGTAGAGCAAATGTTTTAGTGTGTGCTACACTTATGGATTTTAGAAATACTGCATAGAGGTTTTCAGATGAGTTATCAGCGTGCTTCGTTTGCTGATATTTCAGAAAGCAGGAAATATGCTCATACAAATAAGGAAACGTTTTCCTTGTAAATGCAGGTAGCTACTTTGGACACACAGATTGCAGATGATGAGGAGCTACAGAAGTATTCAAAGGTAAGCACTTGGCTTTGAGATGCTGCTGTGTTTTATAGTATAGCTTTCTCTACACTCTTGATGCAGACACTGAGTGTCCTGACCTAAAGTCTCTAGAATTTATTCAGAGGTATTTTCCAGAAGTGAGGTAGGCTCACAGACATAAGTGGTTAGATAAGGCTGGGAAGAATGGAACCTGTATGCCATTTCCAGGAGTTAAAAACCCTGATTTGACTTTGCCACAGGCACGGTGAAGGTGACAGGTGAGTGTGTCAGCTCTTTGGGTATTGTATGGATTGTTTTGGGAGACTTTTTTTTTCTACACTCACGACCAGGGATAGGCTTTGAAATGCATGTTTGGATGTTCAAGGATAGAAAACATGATTGACTTTCTGGGTTTGTTATTCTTAAACCATTTAATTTTATTGCTGTTAAGAACATGAAGTCATGTAACTTAGACAGATTCCCTCCCCCCAACTCTTACTGTATTTTCTTACACATTAATTTGTAGTTTCTATTCTAGATAACCAGAACACAAGGCAATTAAAATGTAGAGAAGCCTACTAAGTGATTTTCTCAATAAATAATAGAAAAGGAGAGTTTTTCTTTCCCAGAGAGCTTCAAAAACACATGAACTCAGAGACTGAGCCCAGCTCAGACTCTGTGTTTAGATGCTGTGGTCAGAGTGAGTTCTTTGCAGACTGGAGAACTGGGTTATTGTTTAAGAAAACTTGCTGCTGTTCCAGAACACCTGAATTCTATTTCTAGCACCCAGGTTGGTGCTTTTAACTGCATCTCTAGAGGACCCAAAGCCTTCCTGTGTCTTCTATGGTTACCCAGAGGCATATGCTTATACATGCATACACACATTAAAGTCAGTCTGTAGGAAGAATGAGTTTATCTGTCTCATGTGGATTTACTAAATAGCTCTTCAGATAGTCTTACTGTTTCCTCCTTTGCTTATGTGATATTTTGCTTCCATAATTGTATACCATGTGTGCTGTTGTTTTAGATTTTCTTTCTTTGTGTGTGTGTGTGTTTGTGTGTGTATGTACACGTGCACGCACTTCCACGCACACACACTTGCACACATGGTGCGGAGATCAGAGGATGACTTCCAGATGTGGTTCTCTCCTGCCACCTTGTGGGGACTGAGGATTGAACTCAGGTCAACAAGGCCTGTGAGCAAGCACCTTTCTCCGAGCTATTTTGCTGGCCCTTGCTTTATGGGGTTGGGTTCTCAGGACTGATAGTGGGGAATATTTCTTTCCTTCCTAACTCAGCCACATTTTAAGTCACTTTCTCTTGGAGGCCATGTTGGCTGGCTAACCAAGGTCTTCTCAGATCTACAATATAAAAATCAACATTGTTCTTTACAGCTAGTTGTAAATTATTTACAGTGTCATCTTTCTGACAGTAGTGTTGATTAATCAGTTTATCAAAATGAGTTGGGACATATTTCATTCAGAAGGTGAATAAAAAATGTAATAACCCATCTAAATTCAATAGTTACTTTTGAGAGTTCTTCTAAGTAGCATTAAGCCTCCTTTGTCCTATAGTGAAAAAGTTTTGGAGACCCCTTTGGCTTTCAAGCATGCCTAGGACAAGGCTTATTTCATCATACAGCTTTCCTTTTGTTGTCTGTTCCCATGATGGAAAGCATTAGGCCAGTATCATACTTCCTAACAAGCAAAAGGGGACACAAAGCGTGCTTTGTGTACGTCTTAAAAGAACCCAATTCTGCAGGCAGATTGTATTCTCATGTTCTCATTCCCAGGTTCCCTGCTACTACCTAATTCTACCTTCTTTCCTGCTTAGCCTCTGGGTCGTGTGGAACTGTGTCCAGTGACTGGTATAAAAATGTAGCGTCATTGAGAACCATGTTCTAAAATGCTGTCTGTGCATTCACTCATCAGATGTTGACATCTACTCTGCCATGTGCAGTGGAGTACACTGGGATTCTGGAAGAGAACAGATCCGAAAATGATCCTTTAGTCGTTTACTAACAATAACATTTGACCTGAGACCATTAGGCAGGGAAATTAGGTCTGGAATCCACGAGAAAAATGGGTAGCAACTTTAGACAGGAAAGGCTTCTTAAAGATGGTGACATTTAAGAACCCTCATCCCTCACATCCCCTGCCATGTTGCCATGTGCTTTCCTGCTTCTGCTTCCTAAGTAGCCCAGATTTCACGCATGCTCATTCTGTGTTTAGTCGATGACATTTTAGTGGATAATTTAGGACACAAACTAACCATCCTAATTTTCCTTGTAACATAATATGAATACTAGAACACTGAGACATAGGGTGTTGGGGGTGGAATGTAAATAAATTTAGCATATGCTTTTGTTAGTGCAGCTTAGTGATAGATAATTGATGGTTTTCTCTTTTAGGTGCATGCATCCAGAAATTTTAGAATACAATCTTTCAAAAGCTCTTTCCCTTATATGTTGGGTTTTTGTTGTTGTTGTTTCTTTATTTTCGAGACAAGGTTTCTCTGTGTAGCTTTGGAGGCTGCCCTCATGCTTGTAGACCAGACTTGCCTCAAACTCGCAGAGATCTGCCTACCTCTGCCTCTGCCTCTACCTCCCGAGTGCTGGGATTAAAGATGTCTATCACCACCACCCCGCTGATTTGTTGTTATGTTGATATATGCTGTTTTCAAAGCATTTAATTATTAATATGAGATTATTTTTGCAGTAGCACCCCCCCCCCCCACAGTGGAAGACAAGAGGCAGCCCAGATTGCATCAGCCTCTTCACATTTCTCTGTTTCTTGTGTATGTCTGTGTGTTTGCAGTCAGTACACCAGTTTGTTTGTTTAATATGTATGAGACAAAAAGAGGTGTACTTTTCCACCTAACATTTCCATTTGTGTATCTATACTGGTTTTTAAACTATTAAGGTCCATAGGATTTCTCTTTAAGTTACTGGGTTATGACCTAGGCACTATAACTGTTAAGATTTTTTTTTTTTTTTTTTTTTTTTTTTGCATACACACACACACACACACACATATATTCAATGCTTGTAGGAGCAGGGAGAGGCATTGGATCCTTGGAGCTGGAGTTAGAGGTAGTTGTGAATCACCTGCTGAGGGTCCTGAGAACTGAACTTAGTCTCTGCAGAAGAGCACAAAGTACTGCTAACCAGTGAGCCATCATGCCAGCCCTCACCTTAGCTTTTTTAAAATGCACTTATAAGCAGCCTGTGGTGGTGCTTGCCTTTAATCCCAGCATTTAAGAGACAGAGGCAGGCAGTCTCTGAGTTCAAGGCCAGGCTGGTCTACAGAGCTAGTTTTAGGACATCTAGGGCTACTCAGAGAAACTGTTTCAAACAAAACAAAATCTACTTATAATTGGATGTTTAAGTCATAAGTCAGCTCCTTTCTATTTTTCTCTTCAGTATGTAAAGAAGATTTTAATGACCCAAACAAAACCCATCCCACAGGGGAGGCAATGGGAGGCCATATATGTTGAATGACAGTTTATACAGCTAGAGAATAGCAGAGACAGCCTTCAACTTGGTGTGTCGTCACTCATTCCTGAAACATCTACAGTAGCATCTTCACTGTTTGCTGGAATCCTGTTACCATTTATGGGAGGAATGAATTATTTCTCTGATCCCATGGAGCTCAGAATCTGGGCTTGGGCTGAGGCACTGGAGTGGACAGGCAAAAGGCCACGTGGTGGGGCTTTGTGAGTCCCGAGGACAGCTGAAGCGAGGAAGTGTGAGCACAACTGGGAGAGACCTCCTGCTAATGTTATTCTAAGATTTCATTCATTGAATTTCAAGGGCATATGAATGATGAGCTAAGCAGGAAGACAGTGTTGTGCTGTATGTTTGAAAATAGTATGAGCTGGGGAGGGTGACAGCACTGGGAGACTGAGGTAAGAAGATTGCCTCAAGTTCAAGGCCAAGCTGGGATATACAGGGAGACAGAGGAGAAAAGAAGAAAGCCAGTGCCGGAAGAAAACACATTGCTTTGTGTACTTGTTAAATAAATAAACGAGGGAAATGACCAGTCTGTCAGGAATCGGAAGAGCTCTAGTAGCCAGATATGCATTACACAGCATGGGGAGCATGTGCGAGGGAAGCATCTTAGAACTACTTCCCTGTTGGTTTCCAGTTGCTGCTGCCGCTCTGCCATTTGTATTTTAATGAGAAAGCTTAATTTCTTCTATGCAACATATATCCTAAGACTCTGAATAAACAGCAAGATTAGGGAGATTGAAATAATATGAACAGTTTTCCAATGTCCTCTTGCTCGTCTTTCTTTGCGAAAGCAATTATTTTCTTAAAAGAATAATTTGTTTTTACTTTCCAAGTTGTATTCTTTTTTCAATTTTTATTACATGGGTACCAATTTTACATTCATGTGTAATATTTGTATTTGTGGGGTGTATATGTGCACAGTGTATAATGATCCAATCAAAATAATTGACATTTCCATTTTCTCAAGTACTTTCATTTCTCTGTGTAGAAATCTTCACTCCTTTCCTGGAGATTTTTTTTTTTTTTTTTTTTTTAAGATTTGCCTGCATGTATACCTACATACCAGATCTCATTATGGATGGTTGTGAGCCACAATGTGGTTGCTGGAAATTGAACCAAGGATCTCTGGAAGAATAGCCAGTGCTCTTAACCCCTGAGCTATCCCTCCAGCACTCCTATAGCTATTTTTTACATTTATTTTTACATGTGTATGTGTTTGTGTACGTCTGGAGGACTTTCTGTGCATCATGTCTGTGCTGGAGCCTGTATAGACTTGCAGAGGGTGTTGGTGCCCCTGGGACAGGTGGTTGTCACCAACCATGTGGGTGCTGGGAACTGGACCCCAATGACATCTCTCCAATCCCTCTAGTGGCTTTTTAAAGTGTGTCATATATTATATACTCCAGTTACCCTAGTGTGGTGGAGCTTCCTTGACCTCTCATTAGCACCCAGTATTTATGCTCTTTAGTGACATCTATTCAATTTTCTCCTCCATGTGATCATCCAGTTTTGAAAAGGCCACTTT